CTATGCCAGCTTTTCTATTTGATATACATAGTCCACAGATTTTAAAGATACCTCAGTATAGAATTAGACATTAGAACAAACTCATGGATATTACATTTGATTACCATAACTCCATAAACAAAAACGATATTCTAATAAATGCGATTTTTTCACCGAACTTTCCTATGGTATGGTGTAATGGGACTATATTTGGTTAATAATAAGCTTGATCTGCGTATGAATAGGTCTAGTCTAGATACCAAGTTTGATGGCCCCACTAAGGGACGTTTATACAGACAGACAGCCGGACAAACTAAGTAAAAAATGTTTTTTTCGGGTGGACTTTTACGTTCTACTTTTCCTCGACTTTAGAAACTAAAATGAAGAGGAATATGGTAATAAAATTGTTTCACATTCTAAAGAAAATGTTCCTTAAATAAAATAAATATCCCTGATATTATTTTAAAGAAATTTAGCAATAATTCACTAAATACATGCACAAAATAACAAAATAACAAATAACTACTCTATTGTTGTTTAGTTGAGTCTCTTTTCCAATCAAAAAAGTACATATTTGAAAAGTAAACACAAAAACGAAATATGAATTGCAAAGGCATTCCTCCCCTGCTTGTTTTTCTTCAATTTCAAAAATACTCCAATCGATTGATTGTTTCCCACAGACTATGCATCTATTCTGTTGAATGGCACTGTATACATATACATACATACATACGTAACAGCTAAGAGCTGCGAGCTGAGAGAAGCGTAACAAATACCACTAACTTTTATTTGGTTTAATTTATTAATTCTGCGCAGTGCTGGTTTTTTTTTCCGACTGCTCGGCCGCATGCTGTGTGCCATGCCCAGTGGCCCAATTTCGTCTATATAGGAGCACTCTTATTTATTTGTATATTTTGTATATATGTACTCGTATATATTGGAGTATATTGCTGCCTAATTTGTATGCGTCGCCAGCGCTGCTAATGTGCGGCCATCATTTAGATCAATACCAAGACGTAGTGGCTTGAATCGACGAAGCTACTTATAGATACATACTCGACGCCTACTTTTGGGGCAGGCAGTTGGCTGCCTCGACAACGTGCCTTGTTGCTCGTTATGGGCGCCCATCAACGCCTCTTACGAATCAATCTGCCTGTTTCAATTTTTGGTAATTTGTTTATGGCGATTTCGGCCACATGGGACCTCAGTAAGTGCTGAATGGCTGAATGGCCGAATATGCCATGATTTTTAAGCTGAGTTGAGCCGAGCAGACACTCACTCACAAATATGCGCTGCTACTTAATTGAGATACAACTTTGAACCGCCAATGTCAGTGGCATAAGCGCAGTGGAAAGCTTTCAATTTAATTGCAATATTGTCGGCTGTCTGTTGTAAATCTGAAAGTTGTCGGCCTAAGCCGCATTTGAAGGCCTATAACTCAAAGCGCAGTGTGTTCCAAAAGCGCAAAATTTGACAGTGGTGGCGTTGCTTTACGTAGCTTTGTGGTCGAAACGAACCAACCAACTTACTAACCCAGCAGCCAACCAACCAAGCAGCGAAGCAGCCAAGCAGGCAACATTCATTTTAATAATGCCCGGCAATGATTTTATTTGCATGTTCGCCGTCGAAGGTTAAGCAGGGAGGAGCAGAGAAAGCGAAAAAGCGAAATAGCCCGCAAAATGTTGCTTTCCGTTTTTCTTTTTGTTTTTGCGAGATTAAAATTATCTTCATGTTTACTTTTATTTATGTGCGCCGAACTACCAAAGTCAGATTTGGGTACAGCAACTGGGCTAAGCAACTGACAGTTATTAAGGTATTAGGTCAGGTAGCAGATTAAATGCTGGCCTAACATTTTATTTTAAGTTATTAAAGCAGCCAGTGTATGTTTGAAGGCGCCCAATTAAAAGCTCTTTAGATTAATAGGAAGTCCGATATTCTTTTAACCTATACTATTTCGTGTCTCACGCCCATTCACTTGGCTGCAAATAGCTGATACCTGACCTGTCATGGACATGCCCTGACTTCCGTAAGCAGTCAATGATTAGAGCGCGACACTCAGCTGCTGCTCAGCTCAGCTTCTCAACTTCTCAGAGCCGGGGCGAGTGTAATGGCCGCTAAGCTTTGTCACAGAACACCAGCTGGTGTATGTGGGCCCCTCTCTCTGCTAAGTCCTCATTACAATGGCCACTAAGCACAGCCTAAAATCCACTTAAATGCCACTACGAACATGTGTAAGCCACACGCCCCCTTGACATATCCAACACACACAGCTAGGGCCATTATATGTCATGCAGTTGTGCCAATTAAATGCATTTCATGCCCAGCGAGGCATTGCCCTGCCCTGCCCCGCCCCTCACATGGCCGCACAAATCACAATCCAAATAATGTAAAGTGTTTGCTTCGTAAATTGCGTATACGCCACGTGTTGTTGACCACAAAATGCACAAAAAGCCAGCAAAAGCATAAAATATATTGCAGATGGAGTTAGAAACGACCAACCAGACACTCCTTGCCCAAAATATATACGTGTATATGGAAATTCTCTCGAAATGTTTACGCAGCACATTCTTTGTTTGTTTGTTTGTTTGTTGCTGTCGTTGTTGTTGTTTCTATGTTGCATCAAATCAGTCAGATCTATGTAATTGCATTTTATTGCAACATTTCACAAGCGAGCATTAAATACATCTGCAAAAATGTAGTAGATGCCGAGATATGCGAGACGAATACGCAAAAACGCATACTATATGCTTATACTCGTATGTATAGCTAGTCGGCTGGACCGACATATGGCTGGCATCTCCGGCATGGCTGCAGTTCACTCGGACTTGCACTTCTTTATAACTGGACGCTTTTAGTGGTCAATTTGAAAATGCTCGGACAAGCACACCGCCGCTCAACTGATTAGGTGCATCTTCACAAAGGAATAAGCATTACTTTTATGACTTCGTCAAATTTGATTTAAGGATGCATTCCGAGCAAATATTGTAGTTAATTGCAAGCAAATATTGTGGTATAAACAACAAATCACTCTTATTTTGTTAGATACTCGCATTTTAATGTTGAACAGCAAATTTTATTCCGTAATTTTTAGTCAAGCTCCAATCATAAAGCTTAATAAGCCCACAATAAATTCTTTAATGAAATAATAATAAAAGTACAAATATAAAGAAGCCTTAAAGTTTTTTGAACAAAGTTATAAGCGTTTTATAAACATGCGGAACACCAAAAAATACTTTAAGATATATTTTCCTATTCTAGCATTATTTATTTTTGGTCTTTAATTGAACCGATAAACAGTTACTTATAAGACTTTCAAAAAGAAAGAAATATTTTAAAAGGCTTTTAAAATTGGCAAACATTTTTAAAGCATTTTGTGTCTGACTTAAGCATTTGCAAAGGAACTGTACTTCAGTTCATATATCGCATCGGCTGAAATACCTAAATATTTTCTTTTTACATGAGCATATTACATTCGTCTTTATAAAAACTTGTTCTACAAATTTTATTCTAAGAAATCTCGACATCTATCTTCAATATTTCTAGTTCCGGCAATTTAATAATTGATACTTTAATCTGTGAAATTGGTATTAAAGGCAACGCAAGCTTATAAATTATTTACATTTATGGCTCTTGTCTCGTCTTATTGGCTGCTAATAATTGCTCATAACTGATCAAATTATTGCGCCCATTTTCTTGAGCAGAGCTGTGTATGCATACTCTTATTTATATTTGTAGTTATATTTTTCTGACTATCCATGAGCTTCATTTGCATATGCACAGATATCTGAGAGCATTTCGCATTTGGCTGCTTTCATTTATTTAGTTTAGTTTTGTGCTGACAACAAATATGCAGCAATTCTTTGCGGTCATTGTTTGGGTCATCAAAAGTTGATACCATAAGTGGATGGATGGATGGTCGTTGGATTCAGACGAAATGGATTTGTGCTTAGCGAAAATCGGAGATTTGGCAAAAAAAAAATGAAGAAAAATAAAGAAAAGCTGGAATGTTTGCCACTTCAGTGATATTATGATATTCTGTTGGCTTTCGGGTCATACAATCAAATAAATAATAGGAATGATTTTCACCTTAAGTCTAAAAGAATTATTATTGAACTGTTTATTTCTGGTGCTGCCAATTGAAAAAGGATTTAACATTAAGTACTATAATTAAATAACTTTGAGAATGCTAGGATTTGAAGATTGTTTTATACCCGATGGTCAGACAAACAAGCTATTTGCTTATAAATTCATGAAATATCACAAGTAACACATTATTTTATGAAATGAAAGATCAGTTTATAGGAATTTAAAAAGTAATTAAATAATTTCTCGAAATATTGCCCTACAATTTGAATATTTATTCTTTAAACAAATTAATAAGGTGCACATTGATTGTTTATTGACTTAAAATCTTTTAGGATTAAAAATATTTTGGATCTTTTCGATATTGTTTTGCTGTTGTTCACAAATATCAGAAAGAACAGAAACCTTTAAATAATTTAAAATCTATGAACTCTACACTTTTTAAAAAAAAAAAAAGTAATTTGAAATTGAAAGGGGTTGACCTTAGAGCGCGCAATGGCGATTTAAATTTAGGCCTTAATTTTAAGATATCCATATTTTATATTTAAAATTAAGCTTATCACTAGGCATACGTATTTATTGGCTTGCCCATTGAAATAGTCTAAGAATATTTTTAAGAAATCTCTACGAATCTTCATTTTACTTCACAATAAACACAAAACACTCGCCACACACAACATACCTAATTCCAATTCCTGCTCTTTGAAGCATTTAATTTTTTTTTTTTCAAAAAAATTCAAAACTTTTTTTTTCAACCAGTAAGAACAAAAACAAAGAAAAAACAAAAACAAGAAAAGAAAAGAAGCGCAAATCACAAAATAAATTAAATATGATATCAAAAAATAGAGAAACCAAAAGCTATAAACAAAATAAATACGAATAACGAATGCGAAAGAACGAAAAAATACAATAATGCATAAAATTGTACAATAATTTAGCGCGGATGAGGGATTCGATGGCACGTATCACACCAACATTGTGGTCAAACATAACGGCAGTTGTCTGTACGTGCCCCCTGGTATCTTCAAGAGCACATGCAAGATAGACATCACGTGGTTCCCATTTGATGACCAACATTGCGAAATGAAATTCGGTAGTTGGACTTACGATGGAAATCAGGTAAAGTGTTTGCAATACCACCACAACAAACAGAACTAAGAACTAACAGTACAGTTTTAAAAAAAAGCTGGCTACAGTGAAGCTAGGCTGCGCGTCACTCACACTAACAAACAACAAACGACAAACAACAAACACACTCACACAGAAACACACTCGAATCACGCGAATTTCAAGTCGTGCACTCATACACAGCAATACACGAATCACGCTTTTTGCGCTAACAAATCACACACTTTTTGTGGTCAGACGGGCAAACAATTTGCCTTAAAACCCCCGGAATTTCAATTAAATAGCGCAACAAATCACTTACTTATTTTTTGCAATTGAAATAAATACAACGAGTGCAGTTCAGTGCAAATTATTTGGCTGTCTGACCGCTGCCTAACAAACTCGCACACACGCACCTAACAACTGTAACAGGTGTTAGGCATACGTACATAGGAGGGAGTCGAAATCTACTACCGGTACGAGCTATTTAGTTGACAGTTGCTTTAGGGACTCAGTTCTTCCAAAAGAAATTGAAATCAGGTGGACTTCATGGCGCGTCCTTCTAATTTTATGGTTTCCCAAACTATCTCTCTCTCTCTTGTTCTATTTACCTAAATTATAAACTCCATATTTATTTTATACATATTCTAAATATATTTATCTGTATGCGAAGTCGTAACTACGAACAATTCTTTGCGTTTTTGCGAATTACAAAACCAAAATATATGTGCTAAGCACTATTTATGCAGACTGAACCATATATGGTGTGTGGACTAAAATTTTCAATTCAGAATTGAATATTTTATGTCCACGCATATAGAGTAGAGGTATCTATAGGTTGTTAGCAGCTATAAAGATTTATTTTGGCATATTGTCGCTTACTTTTGGGACCAGAGAACCACAATTTTCAAATTGTTGTGTCTGGCCTGCTGGTAATTGGACATGATGCGAGAATGGAAATCTTTTATAGACATATCTATCCAAAGCTGGAATCATGTGTGAAACGCTATGGCCGTTTCACCTATTTTGCATGGTAGCAGGCTATCCACCCAAAGTGAATTTTTGGACGTACGTAAAGACTCTTAATGAAAGTCAAACAAAAAGTTTTGAGTACCATTTGATTTACAACGCTTTTGATTTTCACGTACTATGTATTTTGCACATAAAAGCAATGTCAAAAAAAAAAAACAATCCGTTTATATGCAGCTCTCTTTTGCTCGCTCTCTCGTACACCTCGAACACATGCTCTCTTTGTACATAAATGTTGTTTCAATGTGGCTTTTTTGTAAAATTCTAAAATGTTACCTAACAAACAAAAAAACTAAAATGTTAAAATATTCTTTTTCTCCAAAAAAAAAAAAAAAAAACAATAACTGAACACATTGACCACAAAAACAAAAACTCAAAACAATACCCAACCTCAAAAAAAATATATGATAAAAACAATTTCCAAAATCGAAAATTCGTTTGTCACACAACTTGTGCAAACCAATTTTGTACTTTAAAAAATGGTAAAATGATAATAAAAAAAATCAGTTGGATTTGGTTTTGAATTCCGAAGATGGAGGGGATCTTTCCGATTTCATAACAAATGGCGAGTGGTACTTGCTTGGTTAGTAAAAATCATCATGATCTTTATGCTTATCCTTCTAACTGTTCCTAATCGTTGTCATTTGTAAATGTATTTAAGCATTATTCACATTATTAATCTTAAGATTTTCAATTGAATTCTTTGTATTTTTTTGAATACTCGTATAATTTTTAAAACACTTTTGTAGCAATTTGCTTGTAGCTCTAGTCTGAAAAAACGCTTCATAGACTTTATTATTTGCCAAAATTGCAAACAAATATTTTGATTTCTAAATAATAATATTTGTATATAGATTAAAAAGTCTCGATAAGAAACCATTTGTTGTACATATATGTACGTGTGTGTGTCTCTCTCTGTGTCATTCAACTCATATCGAGTTCCGATCGTACTAATCGCTACTTCTATCGTTCAGCCATGCCCGGAAAGAAGAATACCATAGTCTACGCCTGCTGCCCAGAACCATATGTCGATATCACCTTTACAATACAAATTCGTCGACGCACTCTCTATTATTTTTTCAATTTAATTGTGCCATGTGTGTTGATATCATCGATGGCCCTACTGGGCTTCACATTGCCGCCGGACTCGGGCGAAAAATTAACGTTAGGTGAGTATTCCACGGGCGTTCGCTGCCAGCCCTTATAATATAAACCAAATATCTTTATATATATATATATATCGATATATATTCTATATACAAATACATAAACAATTTTGTAAGTTTTTCAGCGCGTTTTATAGATAATGTGTGGTAAATACTGCTCTAAGCTGTCTTACATACTATATATATATATACATACTGTATCTCAAAACGTAGTTAGGGCCCCAGCAAAGTTTTCTAAGAAAATTCAGATCAGTGTTCAGGTAAAGCTGTTCAGCTCGAGCTGCAGCCGCGGTAGCGAAATGAGGCTTAGCTGGATTTAAAGTACAACAAACTATAATCTAAATCGTATTGCTCAACCTAAAATTCCCTTTTAATAAACAAAAAACCAAAAACAACATATCTAACGCTGCTTTTAGTTTAAACTCTGCATGTTTTCTTCTCAGTAAATACAAGTACTATATAAAGTAAATTAAACAGTTATGTGGGGTGTTTCTTTCAAAAGTGGCATGAGAATTTGATTAAAAAATTGGTATACTCGTATGTATCCAGAAATTGAACAATTTACAGCGACTCTTCAAAATAAATATATATTTTATTCATATGAGCCTACGTTTAACACTTCCTTCTTTTGTTTATTACTGAAGGTCATTTTATAATCTCCTTATTGAACTATTTATGCAGTCATTTTTTGCATTATTTAATCAACAGATTAATGCTGACTTATTAAATAAATATTATAATAAATAAATAAATAAACTGCATAAAAATAAATATTTTTGTTTAACTTTTCAATCAATTCTCTATTTTATCAACCTAACAACTTCCTTATTTATTTGTCAACTAGCTCAGCAATTATCTTGTTTCATTCATTCAATATATTTGCTTGGTTCATGACTGATCCTATAACCTTTTACAAATTTCTGTTTAAATTATGCTTTTATTCTTGAACAATTCAATGAACTTTTCCACCCATATTTTCATTTTTTTTCATTGCCATTCAACTTATAAGTCCGTGAACTTCTTCTTCATTGTTCAGTCATTCTTTTTGTATATTCACCATTCAATCATCTTCAGTCGGTGATTTATTATCAAGATTCCATTAACCCGTTCAAATTTGTATTTCATTCATGAACGATTCAATATACTTTTCTTTCTTTAGCCATTCAATTAACTTGTATAGCCGCTGTGTTCGCTCATCAACCATTAAATCAACTTGATCCCTCTATTCTTTCTTTCATGAATGATTCAATCAAGTTGTTTAGTCGTTCTCGTCTTTCATTTAAGTGTCAATAAACTTTAGCAATCATTCCAGAAAGTTTTGCTATCTGTTTTCGTCTTCATATAAAATTCAATGTTTTTTTGTCAGTCGTTCTTCTTGTTCATCAACCAATCAATCAACTTTTTCAGGCATACTCTTAATTGTTCAATTAACAATCAATTAAGCAATTTATTCATTTAACGTCTTCAGACAACTTCACTTTCTTTCATTAATAACTGACTTTTATTTTAAAGAAACAAGTGACTCAATTATTACATTGTTTAATTTTTCAAATGCTTTTATTTTAAAAGCCCGGCCAGCTATCTGCAAAGAAACACCCTCAACTAACTTGCTAAATAAAAAGATTAAGATTAGTTTCAAGCTACCAAGAAATGTGTCTCCCCCTTTTTAAAATTAAAATCCAAAAATTCTGAATGTGTAATTAATCGAAAACTAAAAGCAAGAAGCGTTAATAATTTCTTTGTTTTTGAAAATGAAAATTGTGCTACGTTTTATGATATTAATTATTAATTTGAATCTTTCAGTTTTCAGTATTTTGCGTTAACTTTCATTTAAATTGTTTTATATTTATTGTATCTCTTATTCCAGGCGTAACTATACTACTATCATTAACAGTATTTCTAAACCTTGTTGCTGAGTCTATGCCGACAACGTCGGATGCTGTTCCTCTTATAGGTACACACACACGCTATTATTTAACTAAAGTATCGAAAAAAAAAAACAAAAAAAAAAACCGACAACAATTATTTTAACAAAGCAAATGGAGTGATGTGCCTAAATGCTGTTTTTAGTTATCATATTAGTTTTTACTACAGTAGTGCCATGAAGTAAAAAAACCAAAAACACAGTACAAAATTTTTACCAAAAAAAAAAAAAAAACGAAAAACATTATGTATGCCAAGCATAAACAAACTAACAACAACAAAAAACCAAAGAATACAACAAAAATACCAATTATTTAGATCTCGAACACACGTGTATGGAGAATGTGAAAATCTCTTAAACCTCCTCTCTAATTATGTTTTGCAATATAAATAGAACTCTAACTTCTGGACTTTCAGCCAGCTGTACTCTGTAACGGAATATGGATAGAAAATTTCCTAAACGAGTAGCTTTAATTCCAAAGCACACCCAAAAGAAACCCACACACAGTCATCTCTAACACAACTATGTCTTCTCTATCTCACTCTCTAACTGTCTATCACTGTCTAACAATGTAAAGTACTTGAACCAACAACAACAACCAGAGCTAGTTTTTCTTTAAAGTACTAGATATGTTTACTATTATTGCTACTCTTTTCCTCTCTAATACTTTTTTAACTACTCTACTCTACTCGACTAAAGCTCCTTTGGTTTGGCTGCTCAAGTGGCCTTAAGCATCATACTCTCGTACTATATAATCGCGGCATTAGCATTCTCTGCAAAGCTCTGACATAATTGGTATTTGACGACTACACACACACACACACACCAAGACACCAAGCAACTAACAAACGCACTCACGCTCAGTTCTCAGCCATCACAGACACACACACACACACACACACATACACACGCCATGAAATCAAACCAAAATTTCCACAAGTTTTCATTTAGTTTTGCTGTTTGAAACGCGTATGTTGCCTATCTACTCGTATATCTATATCTATATTTTACCTATCATCAGAGACTAAGCTGCCTTACTTATGTAAATCCTCAGTTGTTGTTTCTGTCGGTTTGTTCGTTTGTTTGTTGGTTTTCCTCCGTGTGCCTCTAACTCTATAATATTTAGCTGTTATTTCTTTTCGTTTCATTTCTTTCATTCTTTTCCTTTTTATTCATTCTATGTTCATTAGCTTGCAAAAAATTGAGTAACAAAAAACAAAACCTAATTAATAAACCATATGTAAATCGCTAAAATTAGATCGATCATCATGTATATATTATACTATATAGCTTGTTGATACTTTTTAGAGAAATATCATATCATGCTAGGCAGGCGCATTCATCGCTTGAAAACAAATCCATCAATCACTTCGTGAAGTAGAAACAACGCAACAAAAGAAAAACCAAACCAAATCAATTTAAATAAACAAGTAACTTAAAACTAGCCACAACTGTATATAGAAAATATGAAAAATCCAACGAACAACCTTTTTTCGCTACCAAATCAAAACAACAACAAACAACATGCGTAACAATTGCCATGCCATTTACGAACAATCAATACTCGCAACTGCAATCGCAACATTAGATTGAACAATAGACAGAAGTGGTCATGAAAATATAGTCAAGTAGCAGTTTAAATGAAATATAATCTCTAAGGCTCTAGCTCAGATTAATAAAGTGTATTTTTTAGCTTCAAAAGAGTTTCTTTCGTTAAGATTATCTATAGATTTAATTAGACTTATGTATATGGAATTGTTTAATTTTTAAGATTTTTAGACATTCCAAATCAAAAATCTTAATATCAGACTCTTGACTCCGCCCACTCTTGACCAGCCATTCCGGTTAAACTAGAATTTCCTAATAACTTTTAATTGTAGTCTTCGAAGCCCCATGATAAATTAGAAAAATTATTTAATCTTTGTAAGATGCCAATACTCAAGGCACATGAACTGAACACAATTAAAAAAAATCTGTACAAATCCATTTTGACAAATTTGGAAATAGGAGGAATCCTTTTTTATGGATGTGTTTCTGCGCCAATGCTAAGCTCTGCTTACATTTGAATGATATTCGCCATTTTGTTCGCTAATCGTTCTAATCAGCAGACTACGGAAACGAAGGAAAAATAAATAAAAGACCAGCTATTTACACAACTATAGTCATGAATGAAATGCCTGTTTAAATGAAAAAACTAAGCAGTACTTCAATAAGCAATAAGCTAATCATTAGTTTATTTTCTGTAACCTTTTCATTATGATTATGTTAGCTAATTGCAGCCTACAGCTATGAAATGCGCTTAAAATATAAACATTTTGTATATTAAGTAGCTATGCAATTGTTATACAAGGCATAACAATTGGGTATATATTTTCATGACCACGATTGTAAGGTTCATATCAAAGCATTGCAAAACAAACAGAAACAATGAACTAGCTCTAAAACGTTTTAAGAGTTTAGCTAGCTCTGTCAAAGTGAACAGTTAGCGTCAACAACAACAACGGCCATTATAAATAGTAGCTGAATATATTATTTCCAAATCGACTGTATATATATATATGCCAAATCAGAGTTAAATAAAACGGCAATAGTTGCCGAGGTTTGTATTGAAAAACATACTATATCTACACGACCAATGTCATTTGATACTTGGTAGAGTATAGAGGAAGCAAGCTTAGTTAAAAATATCTACTATATATACAAATACATATGTAAAAACATACAACAACAACACTTAACTATACATAAGACAAATACTGAGTAAATACTACAGCTACTTGTATGCATATTAGACGCAATTTTTGGTAGGTATTATTTATTTAGCCTACGCTGTAAATGCTGCTGAGCTGCCCCACTAAGTAGGCAATACTTTATGAATTTTATTGCCACCAACAAACAATGTTGTAGAGTACACTGTATATAAACGAAACACTTGAACAGCTATCGTAAGTACAACAAACACACTAACAACAACAACAACAACAGACACTACTAAAACAATTATAACAACAAAAACAACAACAGCAAATACAACAATAATTAGCGGAAAACGACAGCAAAAAATCTAAAATTAAAAACGAAAGCGCATGCCAATTTGCAATAATTAAACGAAAAAAAAAAACAAGGACACACAACAAACTCACACACATTGCTCTTAGTCCTTTCTTCTCTATCTAACTCTCGCTCTCTTTCGCTCTCTAACTCTCTCTATCTAACTCCAACTCTGTATCGCTCTTCCTCTCTCTCTCTATCTCTGAATCATCTGTCTCGTTTTGGCAAGAACACTTTGTACTTGCACCAATCTCTAAATCTCAATCTCAACTCACATCACAAATACAATTCACAAAACACCTCACAACACACCCACCAACTAAGAACTTTTCTTTGCTCAAGCTTTAAAAAAATATAAAACACCCACAACAACAACAACAAAATAGAAATGCTCTAAACAAAAAATTTATCACTCATGCTTACGCACCCGTAAACTCCAGACATTAAAAACGAAATAACGTATCCATGCCATGTCCCCATTAAAAAACCTAAAACCAAAAACCAAAAACGTACCTAACTTAACTTAAGTCTTAAACGTGAACTTAAAAACGACATTTGAACTTGCATTTATGCAGATCCATTTGATCAGATGGTTGAGTTGCAACTCCACATAATATCGTATCGTTCATGATGTCGTGTGCCCATCATGCGTTCATATTATGTCCATATATACTATTTATGAACTAATCCGTCTACTCTACTAATCAGCACCACCGCCCCCACCACCCCTTCACCGAGAAGACCAAGCCACTAAGGGAGCCGCGTCATTTGCATGCAATTCGTGCATTTCCGAGGGAAACTGTACATTTTCGCACGTGCCACATTAAATGAGCCGCGTGCCAAAAGCTGAGCAAACTGGCGACACGCTGAGCCACAAATTTGCCAAAAAAGTAAAAATAAAAAAAAAACTCATTGCCATGCCGAGGCCAAACGAAACCAAAACCAAACTCAAACCCGAGCCCCAACTAAGCTAAAATAAAAAGACGGGCCATAGTTCGAGTTCAATTTTCCAACAATCTTCTATTTGTTTTATGCTGTGGGAGACAAACCGCAAAAACTTTACAACTTTTTTTCCCTTCTCTACTAAGTGCGTCAAGTAATGGCCAAAAAGTTGGCACACACCATGGGCAGGGGCATGGGCATGGGCGTGGCCAAGAAAGCCGCTAGAAAGTTCTGGGGCGGCCAAAAAGTTAATTTGTTAGGTGTTTTTTGAAAATTTGCTTGAAAATGTTTACTGCGCTCCGTCTCTCTCCCTCTCTCTCTCTCTCTCTCTCTCTCTCTCTCTTTCTGTCTGTCAGTTACTCAAGAGTTGTTGCTTTTAAATGCTTTGCCATTTGAAATGATGCTATTAAATGACCCAAAATTGCTTTAGTTCTTCGCAAATGGAACTTAGATGGCAGGACAGTTAAAAACTTTATGCGCACAGTCTGCACTAAAAAGTGGTGGCAGACTCCCATTCCCCACTTCATTAAATGCGAGAACGGCCACGATGTGGTTTGATGATAAGCTCTCGACTGATTTTCCAGCGTTAGTTGAAACAACAGACCAATTTCAGAGATTAAGTTTTCAATCATAAAGAACAAGAAAAAATTCCGATATTGCTGATTTTTAAAGATTTGAAATAAAAGATCATGTACATTTTGTATAGTTGAATAAAATAATTATAGCAAATTATCATATATTTTCATACGGCTGAACACATTACTTAATAATAATAAATTATTATTTATGTTCCAAAAAACTAAAGCAAAAGGAAGAAATGCTCTTAATGGACATCCGAAATAAAGCGGAAGTTCCTCACAAAGCAACAAACGATAGAGCATACTCGATATTTTGAAAAAACTATTGTTATCGATGCTTTCAATTGAGTATTTATGATATTACTAACAAAACTGTACTCAAACACTTGTATGGGCACTAATTTCATTTCTTCTGAAGGTCATCCAAAAGAGGTCGCAACAAAAAGAGTTAATCAGAAGCCGCCAAATGTTTGTCAAATATGAGCAAATTGTTATTCGAAAGAGTATCGATTGTTATTTATTATACTGAAAACTGTACTAGTTGTCTACTATTTAATTGTTATTCAACAGCTAAGCTACTACTTCTTGTTAATTTTAATAACATTTACGCATTCGAGCATCTTGCACTAGAGCATCTGCACTAGAAAATAATGATTATACATTTTCAAACGAAAAGTCGAGAATATCCAGCACTTTGTATATGAAAATGAGTACAAAATATATTAATCGATGCTTTTACAGAAGCTTTTGAGTACCAATTGGTTAAGTTAATAGCAATAACTAAGAGGGCAAAACAATTTTCTTAAATATAAACTATTTCTATAGATTTCTTACTTATGCACGACATCTTTGCTATCAAAATAGTTAACAAAAATCGAGTTGTCCTATTGAAACGACACTATCGAATATCAATAGTACATTTAATATAGATACTTTTTTGCTTAACAGGTACCAAAAAATAGACAGACAACTATTGAATATATTAAAATACTTTTTTATGATGCCGAATTTGCACTTTGTGCTCAGAATGCCTTTTGTTTTTAGTAGATAGATTCATAAGTTCAATACATTAATGTGTTTTCCATCTGCGTGTAGCAAATTCAATCGATATATTTAATAAGGAATCTGCGCAATATACGTGTATTTTACAAACATTCGATACGAAGCTGAAGACTTGCAGGCACTTTTCAATTAACACTTCCTGCTATTATTATAAAAACAATTATTCAATACCTTTCAAGTAATTATGTTTCACTTGGAAGCAATAGAAAACAGTTTTCAAGTATAAATATGCTGATAATAATGAATTAATAAATGGATGTTTTTTAACAGTCCTATAGAAAGTAAAAAAGACAACTTTCGAACTTTTTAGTCGCAGTCATCTAAAGGGGTCGCGTGTAGATGATATTTTAAGACTTGGCATCTTTATACTTATGGCGCATATCTGCTGAAGCATACAGCTCCAAAACTGAAAAACAACATCGTTTAGGAAAAAGCTATATCCCCATTTATTTGCTGTTGGTCTCTAATTTATCGGTGGGCTTAAAGGGGCCTGCAGTTGCCAATAGCAGTTACCAGTTACCCAACGTTTGGCGTTATTTATTAATGTCCTCAGACAAAAATCCCGCATTACCTATTAACACTTTGAGTTGTGTCCCTGTTTTTCCGTTTACTACCAAACTTCAAGCATACAGGCATAAATCACATCACACTTCATTCAACTCAATTCAGCTCAGCTCAATTCAATTCAAATCAATTCGAAAATTGACATCAAAGCAATAATTAAATGTGCATTAAAAATAACAACAACAAAATTTGGTCAGCCATAAAGCAAACAAAAAAGGAAAGAAAAGAGAAAAGGAAAGAAAAGAAAAGAGAAAAACATAAGAACAATGCAGCCCATACCAACAACAAAATACGAAGTCTAATCACAAAAAGCAGCGCGTAATTATATTAATTAACAGCAGCTTCTCTCGTATCTCACATTTACTTACAATAACAACCACAACAACAACTGCTTACTCTTTACTACAATTATATAAATACAACAATAACAACAACAAAACACCACACAACAAACTGAACTTCCACCGGAAATGCCAACCTTGATTATTAATGTGTTTTCTGTTCCATTTGTGTCACAAAACAATACACACATACGTTTTTTTATTTCCATTACTGTCATTGTTTTATATTGTATTTTTCAACGAAATTCTTTTGTTTCAGGAGTTACAATTCTTCTATCGCTCACAGTGTTTCTCAACCTTGTAGCTGAGACATTGCCCCAAGTATCTGATGCAATCCCCTTGTTAGGTAGCGATTGCATTTAAAAACATGAAAAATGCAAATATATATTCAAATTTGTCAAAAAAACAAAAAACCAAAAACAAAAAAATTAATTAACAAATTACTTAATATGATTTACATATATACGTATATCTATATATATATATTCATAAATATTATTGTTATTGTTGTTATATATATATCTATTATGATTACTCACACACATTGCTAAATTGTTCGCATATATAATCCTTAACTAAAAAAAAAACAAAATACAAAAAAATATTACCTGAACCTAAATAAAGTATTAGTCTAACTAAACAGAACGTCAACCAAAACCAACTCTAAGTGCCAACAGTTGTTAAATGTTTTTTGTGTACTTCGTACTACTATGTTTACTAATTAAAACAAGTTTACTGCTACTAACTAAACCAATTTAACTCTAACTATCTATCTCTCTCTTGCTCTAAACTTGAAGATTAAAACTAAAATATATAACGACGATGTTCCTTAGTTGATCATATATTATTATGTTGCTATCTCGCTCTCTCTATCTCTCTCTCACTCTCTCTATCTCAATTATACAAGTACTCTCCAATGCTCCTTATCTCTCTCTCTCTCTCTCTTTGCCACAACTACGCGATCTCTCCTCTCTTCATTTTACCAAACAATTATTTTTGGTTCGCTTCTTAAATCCAAGGCCCGCGCTCAGCGTTACGAGCTCAGCGTTACGAGACCGGGTAGTCACAAAAAACCTTCCAAGTGAAAAGCAACGTAAACCAGTAAACCAGCAATCTTTTAAATGCTATCGTTATCTATATATTTCTGATTTATATACCTCCTCACCACTTCACTTTCTCTATGACTTCTTAATCGTCATTGCTGCGTAGCAAATGGAAAATCAGAGACCACTCTTACTGCACACAAAACAAAAAAAAAATGCATTCCAGCTACGCCAATGTACACAATTCTCTTCAATATAATTTACTCTATTTCTCTATTTGGAATGGGTGCTATATTTCCTGCGATAGAACCGAAAAATATACTTTATAGAATTTTGTGAAATATATTTTAAAACAAAAGTGGGGAAGAACTTCATCGTAATAAGGTTGCCAAAATAAATTTAATCCAACTGAACATATCTGTTCTAAAGATATAGAATGCATTGAGACAATTGGGAATCTTAACGTAGAATATTCAAGGCATTCATCTCAAGGGATTTCCAAATTAAATTAAAGCAAACTTAACATTGAGACAATTGGGAATCTTAACGTAGAATATTCAAGGCATTCATCTCAAGGGATTTCCAAATTAAATTAAAGCAAACATAACATATCTGTTCTAAAGATATAGAATGCATTGAGATAATTGGGAACCTTAAAGTAGAATATTCCTGGCATTCATCTCAAGGGATTGCCAAATTAAATTAATGCTAACTTTACAAACTAGTTAGATTGTTCCAGGTTTTTCAGTTAAAAATATACCATAAAGGGAATGTCTTTATAACCAAGACTTTTTAGATGAACTGCAAAATAATTCCTTTGATGTGTAACGGTTTTACTTTTTGTACAAACGGGACCAACGCCTTAACACTTTGGTTTAAAAAAATGAAGCATACTTATAGGCTTACATTTATTTACTAGGAATTTCTAGCACGCTTCTTCACTATCACTAGTTTTAGTGCTGATCCAGTATTGAATATGAAAGATTGATCCAGTATTGGTTATATATTTAGTTCCGGTATTTTTTAGACAATTAGTGCAATATTAGCTTCGCTATTGGTTTTGCTATTAGCTGCAGTATCTATTATGATACTGGGTCCTCTAGTACAGCTTTGGTATTCTCTAAGTCACGGTACTGGTTCAGGGATACTGGTTTTGTTATAGGCATAATAGTTTTTGTTCCGTTATCGGTTCCAACATTAGTTCGCTTGGAAGTTGCGATATAGGTTTCTAGTATAGATTTCAATATTGGATTGGTTATTGGTTTCGCCTTATTTTTTGTTAGGGTATGAGTTCCAGTGCTGATTTTAAAACTAATTCCCTTTTCTATATGTTACACATCAAACCTTTAGCTACATACATTTTTTGATTTGTTAATTTAAAAATCTGAAATATAGGGCAGCTTTATAAGGTAGCTAGAAGGATAATCCAAGATCCATCCATGATAAATTTTAGATTGTTACCATATTTTTAAAGGACAATCCCCACACAAGTTTGAACAACTTTTTACCGTCAGCAAAAAATATATACATTGGATCAAAATTCAAAAATATTATAGAGAAGGTCTTAGTAGTCTTAGTAGATCGAAATAAACATAATCCATTTTTTCTGCAGGCTGTGAATGAGAAATATATTTAAGCAATTGACTTCCCCTAATCGCGGATTTAGATTTTACCTTTTATTTTGCAACTTTTCTTAACCCCCATTTCAATTCCCTACAAAACAGAGTTTTATCGCACTGAAACAAATAGCCCCAAACAAGAACTTCGTTTTAAATTATTCACTATATAAATACATATATAAATATATATATTCAACTATAATATTTTAATACATATTATATTATCCAGTACACCTTGTTTGTACTCTTTCCACTTCGCAATTATGTAACTCCTTCCAACCCATATATACGTAATTACAAAAGATACTTATGAGACAGATTTCAATACAAGTGAGTTTGGGAAAATACTTGTGAAATACAAAAAACAAAAAAAAAACAAAAAAAAAACGAAAAAAGAACAACAACAAAATATTACTGATGAAGACGTCGTTGTCGCCGATGAAGATGAAAGAAAGAAAGAAAGAAAGAAGTTTCTTCTTTTTTTTGTATAACTTATGATTTGACTTGTTTGCTAAAAGCTTTCTTGTTTTTGTTGTTAATTCATTTCGTTACTCACCCATGCTCACTTTTGTTTAGCAACAGTTTTTGCATTGCATAGAAATAAACACCTTATGTTTTATCATAAACGTATCATTCGTTCGTTCGTTCGCTCGCTCGCTCGCTCACCACATAGCTAACACAAAACGCTGAACCACTCACCACTCACCAGCCAACCAACCACCGAGCCACCCAGCCACCCAACCACCCACCAAGTACACTCAGCCGCAACCCACGCTATATATACTTATATATTTTCAAAGTACCTACTTCGTATTTTAACATTTTTAACTAACTATTTGGCTATCTGTCGTCCTATTCGCATTACACCCACGTCCATAGCTATTGTATTCACTATTTACATATATGCTTTTCGACCCATGTTTCTCGGAATGATATTTTTTTGCTTATGAACCTTTTTGTACACATACTTAACTAATGAATACGAATATATAAACATTATAACATTCAGCTGCTATTGAAAGCTTTGAAAAAATATCATTTCGCCGTAATGTGTTTTTGAAAGCGTGCGTAATGGGTCGAAAGGTTATATATACTCGTATATGTATGCAACGCTTGCTGTTCTTTTTTATTATAAACTAAACCAGTAAAATGTTAATGCTTGGGCCATACAAATAATAACAATCACAATAATAATAGCAATAAAATCTCAAGTAAAGCTATTGTATATATGCGTTTCAATTTAAAAAAAAAGCAAGTGCACCCCAAAGCTTCGCTTACTTCGTATAACATAAATATTTTATAATGTACCCGACCTAACCAAGTCTTTCCAAGTTGCGCACAAGAATTGAAAAGTAAAAGAAAAAGGTTCAGCCAAAAAATATCATTTAGCCACTCTCTAAACTTTCCACTTTGTTTGACAAGAGATGTAAGTAAGCAGAATATACATTCTTATCTGCTGCATTGCATTTAAAATCTTTCGATATACTATTTTTCTATATTTGTAACACACTATAAAAAGATATATAGGATCTTCAAAAACAAAGCAAACTCATTCAGCTATGATTAATCCTGTATTTCTTTACATTCCTTTAGCTGATATACTTTTAGGTCCAGAAACAGACCACTTTATAAGTAAGATCGAAAAGAGTTTGAATTCGTATATTTCAGTCGTCAGAGGCCAGATTATAATTAGCATAAGAAATTAAACTATCAGAATAAATTTGATTTCTGTTTTAAATTTCTTCTGAGTTATAGCAAAGATATCTTTAGATAAAGAGCATAATAGATGAGGATTAACACTGGTTTAATTAAACAAAACAAGTACCTACCAATAATACATATTTTATTCGTTTGAAAACCCTTTCAAAATGATTTATTTATCTACAAAATGTGTTTTATTGTAGTTTTTTAAAAACAATTTTGCTGAATTTAAGCATCCGTAGAGTTTGATGACCGCAGCGAATAAAGTCTACAAACTGAAAGCGTTCAGACGTGCAAACAGAAAGACAAGCGAATGGTCTTATCTAGCTTTGTCAGTTATACAACTAATGCGGGCCTAAGATAGAAAGTTTTTCAGAGCTGTTTGCTCTCTAAAGTTCAGATTGGCAAAAAGTAGAGGGTATAAACGGTTCCATTACTTTGCAGCTCTCATCAGTTCTAGTATAAGTTCTATTTGAGATCAAACGAACGATTAGTTCTATCTTCAATCAACAAATAATAGCTTAAAATAAAAAAATAGTTTTTAATAAACAAAAATTCATTTATACGCTTAAAAGAATACAGCTAATGAATCATTTCTACAAACTGTCTAGGCCCAGTCTCTTGTCAACGTTTATTACATTGTAATATTAACTATTTTTTTAAGCATTGCTCCTCCTTTTAAAAAAACACTCGACACACTCAAGCAGCAATAAATTCGAACTACGTCCGTATTGAGAAATTTTAGCTCTTCCAGCCATATTTGTTTAAGATGTGTTTACAATTGTTTGTTATTAAAATTTTTGCCAAACTATTTGCAGGTGTTACAATACTTCTATCGCAAACAGTTTTCTCTTTATTGGTCGGTAATGTCATAACAAAGACGAGCGAGGCTGTACCACTGCTAGGTACTAGTAAAAAAATAAAAAACAAAACGAACCTGCTACTTATCTTTTAAGTTTTCCCAATTTAAAATCAAACAAAAAACCTAGAGCTATAAAAACCAAATTCTATTCTCTTTTAGCTGCTAAACAAAAACCGAATGTACAAAGTTTTAACAACAACCACAAAAAAGTATTTGCCAAAGACTTGGAAATCGAAACTAAATAAAGAAAAACCCATAAATCCAATAAAGAAAATAAGATGAAATGATGAAAATGTTGTACAAATGCTAAAAACATAGCGCTGCAGCGCCTTTAAAGTAGGATGCAAATGAAAATAGCGACGAGCATGAGCAACAACTGAAAAGGATAAAAAAAAGGCGTTAAGAACCCATACGTACTCTTATCTGTAGGCCTGCCTAACTTACTTATCCCCCTGATTAACGTTACCAAACAAATTTCCAGTTAACAAATGCTTCTTTAGACTTTGGCTGAACCTCTTCTCTACTTTTCTCTTCTCTTTTGTTTCTTTTATTTGTTTTTTGCTCCACTTGTGTGTGACTTAAGTAGGAGGCATCAAGACTTCCCGTAGTTACGCTTTGAGGGTGCTTTGCTAACTTGCTAACAACCTATTGCAAATGAAGCCCATAACTAACACCTCTAGTCTTACTTACTATTTAATACAATTCCTCACATCCAAGTATCAAAGCTGACTGAAAAAATTAAAAACTCATTTATTACATATTAAATTTACATGATTGCCTAAACAGTACACGGACATAAACCAATCATAAAATGTACACTTTATAGAAAGAAATATATCCAACAGGCATTTAATTGCATAACAATAACAACAAAAAGGAATTGAAATATTAATTAAACTGCTATGTTCATCCGAGCATTTAAAATGAATTCACCAACATTTTAGAAACAACAACAACAGCATTTTACTAAATACTTAGTCTCAATTACATGCATGCTTGCTACTCTACTTATTTATACAATTATTTGCAATTTTATAGCTCTAAGTCAATCACACATTTATTATAAGGCAGTCAATTAAATTGTCTCATGAATTTGGTGTAAAAGGTCAGTCAGTGCTGGGAAATGCCAAACACATTTCAAAATTTATAGCGCTTTCAATCATTACTAGAGTGGTTGAGGTAGGGGAGCCCCTATTTCCATATAAAAGCGCATTTGTAAAGCTATCGAGTATTCAAAGCATTCAGCTTCCGCACAATTCCTCACTATACTCTATACTCTATAGGTAATATCGATACTTAAAGTTTAGATACATCTTATTTACTTAAACATCAATGCCTAATTTAACATTTAATTTCAATTTAAACACAACTGAAATTTAGCTAAATTGGCAAGACTAAGCAAATCATTTTAGGTAGAACTTCTACTAAACGCTCCTTAAGATAATTCTGCAGATAGAACTTCCACTTAACTCTCTTTAAGATAATTCTGCAGATAGAATGTATGTCTGAAATATCAAATAATTCTTAAATTCCTATTTCAATTGTATTTACAATAGGAAAAATAAAGAGCACACATTAAATTTGTAAATAACTGTCCTTCAGATTTTCAAAACCAATACTGCTGTAAGTTTTATAAATAATTAAAGTAACAATTAAATTTCTTTAACCATGTTCTTTGAATTTGTGAGTATCAGGCATAAAGACAGAGTGGCGAAGTACAAACTTATAGGGAAGATTATCCGATAATGTAACAATATCGATAGTTTGGAGTATCGAGTATATTATCTGTAATCTCAATACTCAATACTTTTGAGTTTCAGGACTCATATAGTGACTAAAATGGACATTTTCCCAACAACTATAGTTTTCATAGGTTTCCAAAAATTCCAATTAATATTTTAAGACATTTTCCTTAGTCTTCAGCTTATTTCAGAACTGTCATCGCAGTCTTTATCATTCAATCATTATTGTTTTCATTTTTCAAACTTATTCCTTTTTATGCAAATCGCACATCTCCACACAAATCTGCATGTTCGTGCATGTCGTCTATCGTAATACAAGTAGTTCGCTAACATATCGTAGTTGCACAGAGCACAGCTGTGTGCGTGTAGTTGGCTTATTAGTCTAGTAATCGCATCTTTTGAGTCATGTGCTATATTAACACTAATTCACGCTACAAGTTCTACTCTATAATACTAGTATATAGTATTTAGCTTACTCTGTCTAACTTTCTCATGAAATGAAACAAACTAAAGCATTGCTGTACTTTTGTAAATTATCATTTAAAGCTTTCGTTCTTAGTGTTGCAAAGGCTGGAGACCAATAAGCTGCATACTAATGAAAAAACTTCTATTTGTTTTTGTAATCTATTATACACAATTACACACCAACAAACCAACCCACCAACCACAACAATACCAACAACGACTGAAAACTTAGGCACATATTTCAACTGCATCATGTTCATGGTTGCATCGTCTGTGGTGCTCACAGTTGTGGTGCTAAACTATCATCATCGCACAGCGGATATACACGAGATGCCACCGTGGGTAAGTGCTGAAGCCAGCTAGTATGTACAGTGAAAACCATCTAGTATGGCACTCTTGGCTAATACAAGTGTCAATTTTCCATTTCTTTGGAACAGATCAAATCCGTTTTCCTACAATGGCTGCCCTGGATCTTGCGCATGGGTCGGCCAGGTCGCAAGATCACACGCAAAACAATATTATTAAGCAATCGCATGAAGGAATTGGAATTGAAGGAGCGTTCCTCTAAGTCCCTACTAGCCAATGTGCTGGATATTGATGATGATTTTCGGCACACAATATCGGGCTCACAGACCGCCATCGGCTCGTCAGCGTACGTATCCTTAATTCCATTTAAACCATACATTAATTAATGCCGCACAAACGCCTTTTAAATCAAACGAAGTAACATAACTAAAATAACGAATCCTATTGTTACTTGACTTAAAATACTATTGATGATTATAATTATCATCTGCGGAGCTGTTGGCCAAACGGAATGAACTGGTGTCTAAATAGGTCGCATATGATAAAAACCAAGAAAGTTATGTTATGCATTGGGTGGGTTTGAAAGACAGTCATCAGTTGCTTAAGCTGTTAAAAAAAACATATTTAAAGTATTTAATCCAAGTTTAAAGTCGATTCGTGGACAAATACAGGATTTTCAAACAATCTTTGGAGCACGTTTTCTCCCATTTGGAGCTCAAATTTACCAAAAAGGCGTTGTTTGACTAGTTCTTCTACATTTACTGTATATTTATTAAATAATTGTCATTGCAAAATATTTCGAGTGACAAAAAAACAAATGAATTCAATGAAGGACTGCAAAAAAGATTTGTGGATTTTTCAGCAGCAAAGACCAGAACTTGTATGGGAGACGAACTACGAAGCCAGAAAATATCTGACCTCAAGCAGACATCGCAAACTTTATAAAATAAATTTGAATATAGAGTAAACAAAAGGAATTCTTTTTTCCAACCATTTATAGTATTATAAATTAAGTCAAGACCAATTCACTCGCCATTTGAATAATGAAGGCCGTCTCTAGTTTATTTTTTATGTGTGTAAAGTTTAGAAAATGGCGCAAGTATTCTGATTAACTCTATGACTTGTTTTCGAAATTGAAAAGGATTTATAGAAATGTGTTCTCTCTCAATTTTTAGTAGCTTTGGTCGGCCGACAACGGTGGAGGAGCATCACACTGCAATAGGCTGCAATCATAAAGATTTACACTTAATTCTCAAAGAATTGCAATTCATAACTGCGCGCATGCGCAAAGCTGACGATGAGGCGGAATTGATAAGCGATTGGAAGTTCGCTGCAATGGTTGTGGATAGGTGAGTAAACAGCCAGTGTCACGCCACCAAATCAAACAATTAGGCCAACAGGCAGCGTGTGCGTGAAGGGCAAACAATTTCCGGCACACGCACGCACACACACACACACCTATAAATATTCAATAATGGCGACGTGGGGGACACCAACGCCATTTTGTTTGTAGAGACTAATTAATGCTTATGCTCTGCTCACTCCATTCTACTTCACAGATTTTGTTTAATTGTTTTCACGCTCTTCACGATTATTGCAACGGTAACAGTGCTGCTCTCAGCTCCGCACATAATCGTGCAATAAGGCCGATCAATTTAGAGAACTAAGTTATCATATATGTATATATATATATACGAGTATAAAGTAGCTACATATATGTTCTATATGTATGTATGATGATGAGAATATATGAGAATGCCTAGTTAAGTTCTTTTTCAACAAAAACGCTGGCGAAGATGCTTCGAAACAAAGCGAAAACAATTGTTAATTACATTTTTAAGTCAAAACCAATTTCGCAAATGAAACAAAAAACAAACAACAAATTTAGTCGCGTGTACTACAAAAAAAAAAAACCAAAAGAAGAAGTATTTTATGAAAAACAAAGCAAAAATTACTGCCGTACAACAAACAGAATATATAAGAAGAAGAAGCAAATGTTTAGCAAGTTGAAACAAAGAAACAAACAAAAAATTTGCATAGTAATAGCAATAAATTAACAAAATTAAAGGGGAAACACACAACACAGTGCGAAAAATGAGGTTATACATATGTACAATACATACTAAGTATATATATACATATGTATATATGCTATGTATGTACAATAACGAAGTTATAAGTTAATTACGCTCTGTTGTTATAATTTACAACCACACGCACACACACACAGATACACACAAGCAAGTACATTATATATAAGAGATTGTTCCTATGAGACATTAGATATGTATTTAAAATGGCAAACACACGGCACACACACAAAGGATAGACACCTACGTAATTGAGAACTGCAAAGAAAGGAAGCAGCGAGGCCAAGAACCGAGCAGAGCCTTCTAGAGGAGACTACTGCTGGCACATAACACATAAACCATTTATAGGTGGACTGTGACACCAAACTGGTGGGTTGTAAGGCAGACAGGAACTTGGAGTAATGCCAAAAATGTAAAACTCAAGTAGCGACCTAAGTCTGGATTCAGTTCACTATAGTTAATCGTTCATTTTGTTGTTTATTTTATCAGCTATAACTTATTATGTTCTCATTTCAAGATTATTCTTAATAAGCCGCGTTGCTTTTGTTGTTCATTTTATCAGCTATGCCTACATATTTAATTTCTCTATAGTTCTCTATTCTTCATCTTTCTGCTAAACCTTTAAGATTATGCTCAATAAACATACATTCATTCAGCATTCATTTTGTTGTTTATTTTGTCAGCTATAACTATTTATGTCCTTAGTTTTCTGTAGTTAATTCATCCTTCATTTTTCCGCTAAGCCTTTAAGATTATGTTAAATAAACAGCGTTCATTTTGTTGTTTATTTTATCAGCTATAACTTATTATGTTCTCATTTCAAGATTATTCTTAATAAGCCGCGTTGCTTTTGTTGTTCATATTATCAGCCTATATACCTATATATCTCAGTTTCCTATAGTTAATCTATTCTTCATCTTCCTGCTAAACTTTTAAGATTAAGCTCAATAAACAGCGTTTATTTTCTTCTTCATTTTATCAGCTATAACTATATATGTGAGTGATATTATTTACCCTCACAATTCTCTGTAGTTAATCCTTTCTTCATTTCTCATTTTACAAATGTCAGTTTTGCGTTTCACCAAAAAAATTCGTGTCCAAGAAGAGGAACATATGAAGAATACTGATTATAAATATTTAAATAATTTGTCAGCCATAAACTTGTAGTTTATCTTCAGTTTACAGTTCACTTTAGTTAATCGATCCTTTATCTGCTCAAAAGTTCTAGTTGGCAACAAATATTATAATATGCTATCAATTGAATTTAATTTTTGAAAAATTGCACAATTAGAATGTCTAAATTAAAGGGGAGTTAAAAATGTCAATAATTCTATATCATACGAGTATTTAAACAAAAAACTAGCACTTCAATTAAGCTAATCAGGCGCAAGCAATCCACGTGATTCAGAACTCTATGAACTCACCTTTCGAATCAAATGACTATCATATGGAAAAGGAAAAATTGATGATTCTCCTTTTTCGTATATCAATAATTGTTTTAAAACTTGAGCGACTTTTAAATAGTTCCAAAGTTAAGCTCCCTTTAGAAATTCTTCTCTTCAAGTCATGGGTAATCGTTTATTTTCCAGTGTTGTAAAGTCGCAGTTTGCTTCAAAAAAATACTCGCCCTCTGTTTTTAATATAACTTTTTTATTGATATAACTCCAACTCCAAGTTCCTACTGATGTCTGCACAGAAAAAAAAAGCCTAGACACAGAGCGGCCGAATTACTGAAATGCCAAAAGCCAAGGGTAGGCGGGCTTTGTAAAGTTTTTAGGTGAGGAAGAAATATGAGGTGGTCGTTGAGACGTAGGGTATTATTTGTGGTACATTTAGATAAGTTTTTAAAGGCATTTTGTTAGAAGGGATGGAGATAGGTTGGGTGGCCTAGTCGGGCCTAGATGGTAACAAACTGACACAATAATAATGAATATTGGATACATATTAATATAGTACATGTAATTAACTAACACAGATACAATTTCAAATACAAATACAAAAATACATTGAAGATATGTTCATTGAACGAACGTGCTGTTTTTAGAAAATTGAAAATTGTTGAATTATTGTAGCAAATTCGAATACAAAATCAGTTATAGTCACCAATTAAAGGCAAAACAAAAACTGAATAGTCAAAACAATTAGCAATACGAGACGACAGCAAAAACAAGAACAAGAACAACAACCGGTGTATATATATTTTATTACACATATATCACCGCGCATACGAGTATATATTTTTAATAAGAAAAAAGCAAGCAAGCAGCCCCGGCAGCGATCCCCAATCCCCCCATACCCCCAAATCAACGACGACTGCAACACAATTTTGTTGGAAATTGGTGACAACAACAAAAGGACCCATGGAATTTGTTTTGAACTTGTATGCGTTTGTCTCTTCCATATTCCATATTATAGTATATGTTTCCTAAGTATTCCTAATGATGAGCTTCAAATATTTTCGTACTACTACTTATTACTATTACTGCTGTTTATTGTTTTGAGAATCTTTACTACTACACTCACATCCAGAAACATGCTGAGAAAATATGAAAATATGAAACCAAAAAGCGTAACAGTGATATTTATGGTAAAGCTCCCAAACCAAAAACAAAAATATGAGAAAATGTATAACTTTTCCAAAACCCACCTAAGAAACCTTTTAATGTACACGTTTTCTACACACAAAAGCGAAATGAAACACAAAATGAAAAACCTACCTCCTTGTTACAAAGAAAATGATGATGAAAATGTCGCCAAGCAACACTGCCGTATAACTCGCACATACTCTCTAACTCTCTACTCCCCCCTCTTCCCGCCCCCTCGCCGTAACTCTCTATCTCCTTTGTATCAGTATTCGCCCTCTTGTTCCGAAAATTTCTAACAGAATTGTGCAATCACTTATGATTTTAGGCGTAAGCTACCAGACAAAGTTTTACTTACGAAATTACGAAAAAGAAACACAGAAACCATTTGCTTACATCAAGGATAACAACAATTTCGATATGCTTCGCACACAGACAAACTCAAAACTAACGAATGCAGAATAAGTGCTTAAAAATAAAAACTTCTTAAATACTAAAACAAAACAAAAAGAAAGGAAGAAACAAACAAACAAAGACATGCATCTTTAGCTAGCTCTATAGACAGAGCTCCATTCGGTGCTACAACTATTATGGCCAGAGTCCACTCACTGACTCCTTTCTCAGGACATTCATTCGATTTGCCATCAGTTAGGAAGAAGATTAAAGATAAATTGCGATAACCGTGAAATGTTATATGAGTGGAATCCGGCTATAAGTATTATCATTCAGCATGTAGATGGAAGGAACTACTCTAGATCTAAACGTAAATCGATTTGTATGTTTCATTTGCATTTGATACGCGTATAATGTAATTTTAATCCTACCAGTAACTACCAGGCTCTGTCCCCCCTGAGGTTGTATGTCTGCAGGATTTAGTTCGTTCGGCAGCAGAGCCTAGAAGCAATGCAAGTCTTCTATCCATTTTAGTTGTAATATTTTATTGTTTTATTTTTTTTTATAATTAGTTTAGTGCTAAACTTTAATTAGAACTACTACTAAATGTACGTACGTATGAATGTCTTTTTGATAAAAAGGAAGCTATTTTAATGAAAAACAAAACATTTTCTACACTCTTTAAAAGAATGAAGTCTACATGTGTATGTATAAAATAAACTAAACTAATCTAGCATTAAATAGGCAATTATTAAATGAAAGGAAAGCCCAATATTAATTATGTAATAAGCGTCCTACGACACATTAGGCGAGGATAACTAAAAACGAATTTAAAATTACTGCAAAAACAACAAGAATTATAGGGTTGACGGCTAAATTCAATGCGTCTCACAAGTTCTGAAGTCAGCGGACAACTTGAACTTGTAGTTAAATTTAAAAAAAAAAAAGAAGAAAATGTCTTATCATTTGAAATCTGTACTACTGCACTTCTATGCAAGTTTGAACTAATTTCTACTGATCATACTCACAAAAGAAAACCAAAAACAAACAAATGCTAGTTAAACAGTACACAACAATTCGTATTAACAAATAAAAAGAGAGAGCAGCTCGAAATTCTACAGCAAAAACTCTGTTTTATGTTTTCCGTTTCTGCATGAACCAAAAAAAGGAAAAACTCAGCGTTTAAAAGACAGACACACATACATTTGATCAGTATGTTTTAAAGATATATTTAAAAATTAGCATTTAACTAACTAAACTAGGCTATTAACTGCAAACGTTAAGCACTAAAACTCCCAGAAATGCTCCCGCCTCCCCCAACAAAAACTAAAACAAAAACCTCAAAACAAATACCAAACCAAACCAGTTTAATTAAAACATAGCTAATTGCATACTTAATAAACCAAATTGTGTAATAATGATGAGAGAAAGTCGATGAGATGAGATCCCAAATGCATGTAAAGAAAAACCGCAACTTATACCAAAAAACACAAAACAAAAACCAAAAATCTATTAAAATTAGCAAAAGTCTGTTGTCAATAAATATTATTGGCAGACAAATAACTTTCGTCACATTGACGATAATAATTAATTGTAAGCAAAAACAAAAGGAATTAAATGATTTCAATAATAAAAACAAAAGAAAATTAAATTTAAAACTCGAGAGAAATGATTGCAAGAAACAAAAAACAAACAACAAAACAAAAACTGAATAAAATTTATTTTGAAAAGAGAATCGCGCGACTTTTTTTTCACAATATTGAATTTTCTGGAAGTTCATAGAGGAAGCTATTCTTTTCAGCTTTGCAGAACATGAAGCTAAGACACTTGAAAAGATGGATCTGTCCGTATCGATTATTTCACTAAAATGCAAGATCGATAATGCCTTCACAATTAAAGCCTTTGCTGGAATCGGTGATTGCTCTTGCGTTTCGAAAATGTGGATTTATATTAAGTTTATATTTAGAAGGTGCATCCCAAAGTAAACCGGACTTTTACAAAAATCCCACATAGTAATGGTTACGTTATATAAGTACATCTTTTTACCGATATCCGGTCGAGTTATCGCATAGTTTGAAGCTATCCATACAAATATTATCAATAATGGCATAGAATTCGTGATTCGAATGACATCATTAAGGAGTCAACAATTACAGGCGAACGCAGTTTAGACAATTTTACGATAACGCTCGAAGAAAATAACTCATCGATAATTGTGTTATCTGAACAAATCGTTAATGCTGTGTTTTTATGTTGGTGGTGCATCAGGAAAACTAAACAAATTTGTCCCCTTTCTCGGCCATAGGAGAACCTGGGTTTGGTTACTCTAGCTTTTATACTTTCCGAGATTTTTGCGTTCATACAGACGTAAGGTTTGCTTTAAAAACAACTGATAACGATTGCAACGTTACTTCCAAATATTCAGTGAAGAATACTACAACTATGTACATATATATAGAGAATAAACGTAAAGCAGTTATGTTTAGTTAAATTATTAAAAAGCTAATCATACTTTAATATTGGAAACAATAAAAACATACATTTGCTTGATTACCTGAAGCTAAGTCACTAGAAAAGATGGATCTATCTGTAGCGAGCTGAAAAAACAAACAAAAATGTCTTTTCCCTTGGAAACAAGTTTGGTTATTCTAGTTTTTATATTTTCCGAGATCCATGCGTTCATACAGACGGACAGTTCTGCTTGCAGTGCAGAATTTGCGTCTGAAAACAGCTGATAACCATTGCAACGTTTCTTCCAAATATTCAAAATACTACAACTATGTTTATAAATAGAATAAAACTAAAGCAGTTATATTTAGTTACATTATTAAAAACCTAACCACACTTTAATGTTGCAAACTTTTTTTTAAATCTGACCGCCACTCACAGTTTTCGACTTAGTGGAGAGTTGCCAGACTATTAAAATAAAACAATAAGCCAGCTGACTGGCATAAGTTAAGTTGGCAGCGCTTTTTGGTAATTGCACATAAAGTGGACGACTACTGTTTACAAATTGAAGGGCTGAAGATTAATGCGACATTTTAGAAATATAGCCACGCTTTTACGATGGATCTGCGTAAGTTGTGTCGCATTTGTTTCGTCGATGGCCCCACAGTAGACATCACAGAGTACAAGGCCAGCGCCTGGGCACTGGACGAGGATGGCGCCGAAATAGAGAAACAAGTGACTATATTGACAATGTTGCAGACCATGTTCCAGAGTTCCCAGGTAGGTGGCACCTTGAAATTAATTGCAAGCCCAGATGAGTGGAAGAGTCCAATTCAAACACCCTATTATTAATAGGTCATCAGTCTGGAGCTGGCGCAGGAGCTGCCGATGATGTGCACCGCCTGTGTGGAGGAGTGTCTGACGCACTATTCCTACTTTCGTAAGCTACTCATTTCGAATCGCCAGCTACAGCAGCTGTACAATGAGGCACAGAAGGCATACGAGCCCAGCGAGGTAGAAGAGTGCGATGAAAGCGAAGCTGAAGAGCTTGTGGAGGAAATCAGTGAGCAGCAGTTGGAGGAAGAGGAGAACGCAGATGATAGTGATGCGTATAAGCATGTTGTGGCCAAAGTGCCAAAGAAACTGAACAACAACGACTTTCTGATCGTTTCCGAGTTTCTACCCGCTGCGCAGTTCGATGATGTGATCGATCTGAACGAGAACTTGTCGGGTCTGCCCACCAATGAGCTGCGCACTGTCGACTATGCCGCCGTGGAGCTGAAGCACAACAACCTGGACGAGTACAATGAGGCAAATCGACTGTTCGATGTGGAGCCCGTGGGCAGTCAGGCCGTCTACAAATGCAAATACTGTCCCCTGGCCTATGCCTCCCCACAGTTTCTGAAGACGCATGTGCGCAAGTCGCACGTTTGTAAATATTGTACCTCTGCCTTCGTCAAAATCAAGGATCTCAACGACCACATACGCAAGAAGCACTCGAAACACCAGTGCATGGTGTGTTCGAACACCTTCAGCACCAGCAGCAATCTGCGCGCTCATCTCAAGCGCGTTCATGGCGTGCAGCTGCCACAGCATGTGGCGCTTCTAGACTATCGACCCGCCAGCGAGAACAATGGTGACTTGGAAGCGGAATACCTCATTCAATTGGATGAGCCACATTGATAATAAAGAAAAGAAATTAATTACCTTCATTGCACGTTTATTGACTCTGGCACTCGCCAAAACACCATAGATTTCGCTCGCACACCATCGCCCTGCGGCTTATCCTTGCCATCAATATACATGGGCGTGAACTCTCTGTAGGCAATGCAAACACGTCGCTCTCGCACATCCTCGCGCAGCACTGCGTGTTCGAATTGATAGCGTGCGGGGCCATAGAGAACAATGAGCGACAGACTACAAGGAGTTTTCGATAATTAAATATTTAAACTATTAATGAGGTTTTCATTACGCACTTGGGCATTGGTATGCGAAGCACTTTCCCTTTGTAAGCCGCCAATTCGCGCTCGGGCAGCAGCGGCGCCAGCAAGCTCTGCTCATATTCTCGGACTTGATCTAAATTGTATTTGCTGACCTGCTGTGGTTCATAGACTGTCAGCGTCAGTACAGCATCGCCAAGGCAGTTGACAGTGACCACACGTTCCCCCCATATCCAGCAATCATCCACGTGGGGATCTATGCTCGCCCCTTTGCTGGGCTCGTACTCCAGCGAGCACTGCTCGATAGTCTGAAAGTTGTGTAGCAGCGGCACATTCGCAAAACGCTGCTGCACGTATTGCGTGCTGGCCGGGAATCCTGTGAATGCACCCAACTGTAATTTTCGTTTCCGAAAGTTCGTTTTGGGGCCAAAGTTTTGCTTGCGGCGCCCACTTTGCGAGACTGCCCAAGGCAGGGCATCCAAGTCGCGCATTAATTGCGCGCCCTCATGTTCGCTCAGAAACTGCTCCTGCACCAGCACGCCGGGAAGCGCCAATCCCTTGGATTTATCGTGCGCATTGTGTTGGGACTGCACCGCGCCGACGTCCCAGCCGGCGTACAGGCATTGGCATTGCGTGCAATAAGACCAAGGCTCCAGCTGTTGAAATTGCTGTTGCAGCGAGGGTTTTTCTATCCGAAAGTCCTGCTCGCAGGTGAGACAGGTCCGTACACCCTTGCAGCCGCAAGGCCGTATGGTATTCATCCCGTATTTTAATAAAATTTCAAGAAGTTCTCGTCTAACGAACGCAACAAGCAGAATGCGCGAAAAATGCTACCCATCAAAATGAAAGTTCGCTGTGCTGCCACTTCAACGCGAAATGTAAAAATATAGCGCTGCCACATCGTAACAAATATTTCAAATTGCCGCGATTGCGGGCAAATCTAATTGGCTGCCATTTTTGAAAATAAATATAATTAATAATCCAAAGATTTTGCTGTACGACTAACGATTTAATCGCAATTAAAGAGTAAAAACAACATTTGCACAATTCTTTGAACTATTTTCTCTTCAGTTTTATTTCTTGCGTACAAAATTCAGTTTTTAGTACAATGGTCTTAAAAACTAGGGACTTAAACCTGTTTCATTCAAACAAATGCTGCTTGGTGCTCAATACTAATCGTTTTAATTTTTCTTTTTCTAATTTCCTACAGTTGCAAGTCTTGCGAATTGGCCGCTTCTGTGTTTCCAATATGGAAAATATCCAAAGCGTGCCGCATGCGATGAAAAGTCCGCTGTACGAATGAGCGTGAGCGTGGAAATTGGTGTTGTAATCAGTCTTATATGCCAGTATAATAATGATAGGAAGGGGTGTGGAAGTTGGAGTGGGAGTGGGAGGACCTGCCGCCCACGCCTACATCTTCAAACAGCTGCGATGGCTGGTGCTGCGCGCATAGACCGTCTCGAAGGCACGGATCAGCTCGTCCATGCCTTTCAGGAGACCCTCTTCCCGATTGCCAGGCATCCAGTGGGCCCGATGGCTGACGCTCAGCTGTGGCGGCAGCTGACGGGACTTGGCAAAGTCTATCAGCCAGGCACCTACGCGCTCATTGTCGTAGACAATGAAGATGCTGGAGCCGACAATTTCGTGGCGATTGAAGAACGCCGACTGCTCCATGACCAGGCGCATGTGCTTCAGCCGTTTCAGCAGCTCCTTCTGAACGGATTTGCGTGCGGCCAGGAACTGTTCAATGGTTTGTGTGATCTGCTCGTCGGTGCGACAGGTTTTCAAGTCCTTGAGGGGGGCGCGGCCACGCAGACGCAGTGCCTCAATGCGAAAGCCCTTCGTGTGTGAGGAGGACAAGGATTCGCGGAAGAGCATGTAACGCAGCTTCGTGATCGCCTGCGCCTCATGCTCCGCAGCTGTGGGCGCACTCGCATCGACTGCCACCATTTTCTGATACAAGTCCGGACGCAGCGTTGTGTTGCTGACCTCCGATTCCAGAAAGGTGCGGCAGCCCATCTTGATGTCCATGACGCACGGATCCTTGAAGCCGGCCAGCAAATCCTGCAACTCGATGTAATGCTGTCCGTGCAGCTCACGTCTGCCCAGATACCCAGGCACTATCTGTGCCGTCTGAGGCTCCTGTGAGATCAGCTCGTAGGCGTGCACTTCGCTATCGTCAATGCTAACGATCCGCTTTCGCACAATGCCGCTGCTCGTGGGCACAATGCTGCAAATATTAAGAAAGAGAATGGGTTATTTAATATTATTATTTTACATTTATTAATATTATATCATATTAATTTAATTGTTACGGACTTTTGGAAGTTTAAAAGAATTTCAACTTGGTCTAGAGTTTTCAATAATATATTCAATTACGCAACATTTAGCGAAATTCTGTGTAACTGACAGTTAATGATTTAACTAAGGATAGCTAGCCGTACTTTTGGAAAAGTTTTAGAGGGGGAATTAACACATTTTTCAAAATACTTGTAGTTTTTCTACATCAAACGGAAGTTTTCAATTTAAAAACTATTTGGATCAATAGCCCTAAATTTCTGACAAAATTTATTGAAGAAAAACAATTTCTAATATTGTTACAATAGAACTGTGATCTCTAAATTAAGATTGGTGTTACCAGAAAAATAGAAAACGTTCTCTAATTTCAGGGCTCTTTGTCCAAATCATTAATTAATCGGAAGATAAGATTCTGCTTTTGCAATATTTTCTTAAATATTATTGTAAAGCTCAGCACTTAACGAAATTTCTAAAACGAATTGTAAATTGGTCTAAATTTAAAAACATAAGTACTAGATCAGAAAGGTTTCTTGGGATCCAATTCTGTTGGAATAGTTTTATATGAAAGCTCTAATTGTTATGTACAGTGATGGACAAAATAATAGAAACGGCATTCCTTTTTCACTAAAAACTTCAGTCTTCAATTTCTGGTAAAGCTATTTACGCAAGCAGTAGAAGACAGAAATGATATATGCACATTCCTTCTCAATATGGAGACATATAGTACATATATACTTGTAGATTTGAAATATTTCTGAAAGTCTTTTTTGAACTCTCTTTGTAGAACAATGAAACGATTCACATTAATTATCAATATATATATTGTATAGTATTTTGGATACAACGATGAATCTACTATATTTTCTTTAGTCAAAGGGTAAGTTTGTAAAAAGTTCTAGCTCTTTTAGAGATGATGTCCTGAAATATTTCTAAGTATCCTTTTATATGAAAAGTTTAAAAATCGTAGTTTGAAAACTCTAGTCCTTATCAAAAAAGGAAATGATTTGCAGTTAAAATTGTTATATGGACTTCCATATTAGAAGATGTGGTTAATGCTGCTTACCTTTCGGGATGGCCCGATAACTGCATCCAGCCCTGTGGCTTTGCTGCTTCCGTTGGCTGTTTTTCTGGCTGTTGTTGTTGCTGTTGCTGGAGAAGTAGAGGCGTGGCAGGGGCGCTCAGTTCTAAGGCGTTCTAAAAAAAAAAACAGAGAGAAAAATAAATGCAATTAGCAAATGGAAAATTGTTAATGTTGTTTATTTAAGTCGATTGTTGCTGATCTATAGAAACAGTAATTATTTCACACTTTTGGCGATATCGCGATCTGTCCGACCACTAACTGGTTAAACCCGGTTCCCCACACACACACACACCACAAAAAAGAAAAAATTCTGGACTCTGCTGCAATTTTTTCTGGGAGGGATCGTTATTGTCTGTCTGCTCAAGATTATAAATAATCAGACGAAACATTTTATTTTATTTGCCATTGTCGCAACGCCCCAAAACGTATGTGATTTTATTTGCAGCGTTTGGTTTTGTTTTTTATGATTATATACGAGTATAGTATTTGTATTTATACGAAATTTATGCAAGCCAAGCGGTCTCTTATTGTCTGAGGTTCTCCTCGAGCAGGAAGTGTTTTCGGGTTTTGTTTTTTCGGTTACCATCTGGTCGTACAAATATTTACATTGTCTGGAATTGCAATTCTCTTGCCGATTGGATGGATGGAATGGAAAATTTTTCTTTTATTTCCTTCGCTTTTTTTTTTGTATACTTACAATGGCCAAACATTTCAGCAATGACATGTGACTGTTGGGGGCGTGGATGCCGCCCAGTTGTGTGTGTGTTTGTGCTTGAACTGCCCTTTGTAAGCTCAAATAGTCGGCCAAGTTTTCACAATTTTCGTATTGCATTTGTTGCTGTAAGCGAGACAGAGAGAGAAAGAGTTTGTGTGAGGGAGAGAGATATAGAAGCGTGAAAACAAATGTGGGTTTGACGTCAATGCATAAAGCTTCGATTTTTAGACGTACATACTGGCATGTTGTTTACAAAATAAAAAATTAAAAAAAAAACTATATGCATTATATATATACATATATAAGACCAAGTCTTCCGCTGGACATGAATCAAGAGCGCAGCCCAATAATGTGACTCAGACACATGCCAAGCTTTTTTTTTAAACAAAAAAAACTATTAATTATTCCATAAAAATGCAACAACAACAGGAGGAGAGAACATGGCAGTGGCAGAAATCTATTTGTTGACGCTTATTTGAAATGTATAGTATTTATATGTATATTTTATACGAGTATACATTTTGTTTCTTTTCATTTCTGCGCTATTTGTTTTATGGACCGTTGCCTGTGTGTGGTTTATGAGCGAAAAAACGCGCATTCGCTGCTAATTAGGCACTTAGTATGCAAAATGCTGAAAGGCCCATTGCTATTTGTTGTTATTGTTGCCGCTGCTGTTGTTTTTGTTGTTGTTGCCATGAAAATTCAAATTAAGTTATAAACTCTTGGCCATAACAATGTGTACAAACAAGGCAAGGGGGCATTGCCGTTTCGTACACACCCCGCGCTCACAACACAGCCCATAAAAATAAAAATTCGTTTTAAATTAATGAACTAATTAGGGCGTCTTTAGTTGCTGCTGCTCCTGCCTTCAAACCTGTTCATTGCACAGCATCTAAATAAATACTAGAACTTTTGAATAGGCAGCACGAGCAGTGGGCAGAAGCCGTGCGCCTATCTCTCCAGCTTGTTATCGTAACTGGTAGATAAGACTGCGTCTTTTTTTCCCCCCTCCAGATAAGGCGAGCAGGTTAATAACATTGCTGCAATGTGTGACGGCTTTTACGTAAGCAGTTAACAAATTTGCATATGTGGCACAAATGCTAATTCATCAGCCACAACTTTGATCTTAGCCTAACCTCCACTTATCGCTGCTCAAATGTTTGACTTGGCAGAGGAAACAACATTGTTATTCTCAAGTGGGTGGGTGTGGTAACAAAATTGTTTGAGATACGCAAATTTGCTCAAGACGTATAGAAATGCTATATCTATGTACGAGTATTTTATATCGGGGAGTAGAACCAACAATAGCAAGTATGTTATCTGTTATCTATTAATTGGCATGGCCGCACTCATGATCCAGTAACACAATTTCCAGGGGTGAACCTTTTTTATCATGAAATTCAATGAGTTTCTACGGTGTTTCCTTGCTTGTCTATAAATAAATTGGTATTCCAGATCATGACGATCCCATAAAGCATGCAACTACTGTTCAAGTGTGAATTGCTTAGAAATTGTTGCCAAAAACTGTAAATTAAATGAAACACTTTTCAAAACCATTTACCAAAATGCATTTGAAAATATGTATAACCCATGGAGCCCATAACAGCTCTATGTTTAGATACGATAGTTTTTCTTATCATGGCTCAATCAATTATTAAACAAAAAATTGCATATATAGCTGGATTTTTAAGGCAATAGAGTTAGGTGGTAACTCTAACTAGAGCTCAGTTAAAGCCATATTCTAATGAGAGAATGTCAAACCTAATTAGCCCAACTCAGCTATATGTTCAAAACTATAGAATTCCTTGAATTTTACGCAATAGCGAGCTTAAAGCGAAATGTGAGTAATGCGAAAATTTCATTTCTATAAATCATGTATAGAAAAAGTTATAAAAAGTTATAGTTAAGTTCGAGCTATGTGCTACATAAAATTCTTCTCAAGCTAGCTCAGTAAAACCAACATTCTAATGAGAGTATGAAAACCTAATGAGCCCAACTGAGCTATATAGTATGTTCAAAACTATAGAATTCCTTCGAGCTAAGTGCTACTTCAAATTCTTCTCAAGCTAACTCCAACTCTAGCTCAGTTAAACCCCACCTTCTAATTGGAGAATGTCAAACCTAATTAGCTCAACTCAGCTATATGATTAAAACCATAGAATTCCATGAATTTTATGCAATAGCGAACTTCAAACTCATTGGGTCAAGTGCGTGAATCTCATTTCGCGAGCATTAAGCAAATTGGGAGTAATGCGAAATTTTAAATTAAATAGATCATAGATTGAAATGCTTACATTTTATACAATAGCGTAATTAAAACAAGCTATGAGTCTATTACTCACAGTTTCATTTCATTAAATCATGTATATGTAGTAACAAGTGAGCTTTACTTTTAAGAAGCAAATAACAATTGTATTTATTTGCCAAATCAAAAAGAAGTTTCTGGCAATCGCTTATCAGCCATGCTTTAATAAAACACATATACATCCAACATACTATATATACACACTTATATCTGTGGCATATAGCTTTTATGTTTTAATTAGGCGCTAATAAGCTGTCACATATCGACTGACATTTGGGGCGACATGGACGCAAACCCAAACCGAAACCGTAACGTTCGCGGCTTGCAATTGAAATACCGTATCGAGTTCTGCTAAACCCAACAACAACATCAACAACAATAATACTCAACGCACACATCAAAGTGGCTAGAGCTGTATTCAATTTAGTTAATGTCGTCAATGTTGACCTTAGGAAACGCATGTTAGGGGCAGGAGACAAATTTAATTGCATGTACTATAAGTACGAGTACGATTAGAAGCCATGACTTGTTTTAGAGACGTCATAAAACGTGCTGCGTTTTACAACTTCGTTAAGAACAGCTTTATGCAAGATTTATGTAAATTGATTGTCGAGCGACGCCTGAACTTAAGCATTTTTGCACGTACACCCCAAGTAGCCGTACTTATACTTTATAGTTAAAGCAGCTGCCTCAATTCGCTCTAATCGTTTTATTTCAGTTTATTTATAAAACGTCAAGTATAAACGACAATTAGCGGCTAACTAATCATTTTATGGAAAAGGTGCTAAAATTAAATGAAAACTCTCAGAGAGGAGGGCTGGCTGCCTTGCATTCAAATTATTATTTAATTTCTATGCACAATTCTTTAATTATTGTTTCGTGCTGCATAACCGCAGTAAACAAAAAATTGTTTCAAAGATAAAACTGATTGTTGGGGAAAAAATCAATGCTGTTTTGTGGAAAACCGTCAGGTTGACCGCAGTTTGACGAATGCAATAATTACAATAAATTAGTTGTGACAACTTTGAAGTTGAAATAACAAAAGTTACAGCACAGCACAGCACCGCACGCGCCGGCGTCGCTTCAGGGTGCGCGCGATTCGGACGCGTTTTTAAACGCGCCGATTTATTTTTAGCCTCAACTCATAACCCACGTTCGGTCAGAGCGCCTGTTTAACTAAGCTCAGCATTTAGTGGTGTTTATTTATGACTACTTAACATTTTGTATTGCCAGTCGAACGTGTTAACAAAAGCCCAACAACAACAGCAATAACAGCAACAAAGACAAGAAAATCGTTTCATTATAATTTTTGGTTAAACAGTCGTGGCAAGCGCCAACAAAATTTATGCGCGTGACGTCAAAGCCGCTGCCGTTGCCGTTGCGTTGCTAATTAAACAAACTCAAAATTGCCAAATTTATCAAATTTATCAAATCGAAAAATCGCTTCAGCACACCGAGAAAGGTAACCCAAATATTCGCCACCAACCCTTGACCCTGAACAAACTGTTGCAGGTCCGGCGTGCAGCAGGTTCTAAACTAGTTTCCGTTTTCTTCTCTCTTATTCTTCTTGTCCTTTTCTTTTCTGGGTAGGTAGGTTGCAGGAACCTGCAATCTGGTTTCTAGAACACAACCCTGACTGACATACTTACAGAGAAGAACTACAAAATAATTAAGCATGCTGCTTGCAGGGCGGTGGTTTGCCTTTGATTTCGGCTACCCAGGCCAAACTGTCTGTCAGTTTGTCGGTCAGTCAGTCTGTCTGCAAAAGAGGCAATCCGCTTTATTTGCATTGACGTCAATATCTTCAAGAGCCATCTTTTATTTTTAATTTTTTTAGAACATCGTATAGCTGCCAAACCAGTTGTGTTTTATGGCACAAAAAGACCGATAATTAAAGCGTAAAAATTTCAAGCTTTTTATACTACGAGTATGTGCACAGTTGGAGGTTGGGGCAAGAAAGAACAGAGTCTCCTTACATGCCCTCTGTGCGTATAATACTAGAAGTATGTCTTATGTCATGGCTTTATTATTAAACCCTGCTGTCTGAAGCTGTTCACACAAATTTGCCAAAGAAAAACATTCTGTTCTGGTGCAATGTCCCACCGTTAACCTATTGTTTACATTCCGACATTATGTTAATGACATACGATTTCTGTGAAATTCGAAATACTGATAAAATCCCAACAATTACACTTGATGGAAAACTTTCAAGTCCATAATACAAAGTTCTATGGCGATAATACGCAATTCCCAAGCGATACCAATTCATAAACAGTTTCTATTGTAAGAGTGACTCAATGCTTTTCAATAAATTGCTTACGAATCATTGGACAACAAGTAGTTCCTCCAGATTCATGTAAATGCTGACGTTTAAGAAATGACGTCAAAAATTAAGACTTTCAGTGGCTAAGCTTGATAAATTCTGAGAGCGATATAAATAATTGCTATTTGATTATGATTCATAGACGTTGCTGAGCAGCATAGTGAAGCCAAAAACATTTCGGGGAATTCACGAAATCAAACTTAGAGTTCATTTTTACATCACCTTAGCTTTAAAGTTCTTGATCCCAGTTTTAAGAGCATTTTGATGATCAAGAGCTAGTTGGAAAAGTTGCAGAGCATTTGTTACTAATATAGAACTAAACAGCCAGTTGAACCCACGAAGTAGCCGAATGTCTAGTGCTGAAAACTAAGATTAATATTGCGCTTTATTTATGTTTCGATTAGCGAGCCACTCATCTGCGGATTTCCGTCCACTGTCCACTCATTGTCATTTTCACTGTCAAAGACATTTGTCCTCAGCATTGAGACAACACACATGAACTTTACTCTAAATATTACTAGACAGACAGGCAGAGAGGCAGACAGACAGCCTTGAGTGCTGCATGCTTTTCAAGTGTCACTGTGCCACAAAACCACTAAGCGCCGCACACTTATCATGAGCCTTGATCGAAAGACGAACAAACTAAATGGCGCAGACAGCTTGAAACTTGAAAACATGAAAATAAAAATCTAAATCTATTATAAATATAAAAAAAGCTGTGTCTAGTTGCGATAATGATGGCGATGACAGCGTGGGCTGCTGTTGCACTTGACACTTGATGTGGCTACACTGTAACAAATAAGTGGGCTCAGTTAATGAACGAGTCACAACAAGAGAGCTTTTGTCTCTTTTTTTGTGATTTATGAGTGAATATTGGCCAATTGTTTTTAATAAAATGAAATTGATTTGTTGTCACATACAAGAAGGCATGTGACTAAAGCCGTTATTTACTCTTACATATTATATATGTATGTAGTATATAAGGCAAACATAACTGGCGCCTGTATGGGAAGAAGAAAGATCGCGACTGTTTCAAGTTGTGCGAACGCTTGATCTTAATTAGCGCGCCGTCGTCGTCGTCGTCGTCTCTGTCTCCCTGAGAGACGTCCCCCCTCGGCTTTCTTAAGTCAAGGCAGCCGTCATGCAAATTAACGTTACGTCGCCGACTTTTGGTTTATTTGACGCATCCCCATCCCAGTCCCAGTCACAGACTCAGTCTCAGTTCCAGCTCACAGCAGCTGTCAGTTGTTTCAATGTACATACATACATACATTCTCTATATGTATGTATGTACTATGTACGTCATTTCTGCACTAACTAGTTATTAATACGACTATACTTGTGTGTAATGTGTCTTTTTTAATTTTTAACTAGTCATTTGATTATTTTGGGGCACTTTCTCTGCCAGTGTGGCTGCTTTCTACACGGATGTAAGCCGGCATTGACGTCACAACGTCACAACAACAGTAAACAAAATAAAAAAAAATATATATACATACATATATACAAATTATAAAATGCGCTTTACAAGCTTTGCTTTCTTTTTGCTTGATTTACGATCCCACCACACCTCCCGCCATAACCATGAAGTTTCCCCCACACTCGCACAATACAGTTATTTGCAAAGCAATGTTAACTTACCTCACTGTTATTATTATTGTTGTTGTGGTTGTTGTTGTTGCTGCTGGCGTGCTTTGATTGCTGCTCCAATTCGTTGAGCACGGCTGTTGCTGTTGTTGCATTGGGAGCCGTTGATGTTGCCGTATCCAAGGCAATTAGTTTCCACAATTGTTTAAGGCTAATGTTATCGATGCATGAAAAACGCAATTTATCATTCGACCACGCCATGGTTGTGCGTCTCTTTGCCGTTGTTGTTGCTTTCTCCTTTGTGGTGGTTGTTGTTGTGGGCCGTTGCAGTAATGTTGAAGTCATAGTCATTTGTATTTAATATCTTATTTGATAAAATAGTTATAAAAGTGTTTTTCATATATTTTTATTTGCACTTGAGTCTTTTTTATTCTTGCAACATTTCTTTACTGCACACAGTTCGCACAATTTTTTCAAAAAATTTATATTGAAATATGTGTGTATTTCCTATAATTTTTTTCTGATAATCTCGCACTTTACTTTTGTATTGTATTGGTGTATACAATTATATTCTTTTATCTGACTTTGTTGCTGCACTACACACGCACACACACAGAACATACGCTGTGCTTGTTATGTATGTACGATAAATGATTTTTCTTAGATCTGCGTTCCCGACGCTATGTGCTCGCTTACTGCTCTTGGCGACGACTAACTGGTTTGCCTTTATGGCCGGCCAGTTTTGTGGGCGAACCGCGTCGGCTGCTATGGCGGGCGCGACAAACAACGACGGCACAGCGACGACAGCGACGATCAATGCACGATTCGGCGGTGCTGAGAGAGCGCTGAGCGAGTTGGAGCATTGGGGAGCAATGAGCGGCATTGAGTGCGAGTACGATTGCCGCGAATGAGGGGTGGCAAATGGGAAGTTTTTAGCATAAATGAATGCTCGCCGGCGCATAAACACATTTCTAATACACAGCAGGATAAACGTAACGAGAGCCAAAAGGCATTACCATATGTGGAAATTCCCAAAATCCACACAAACAAGAGTTATTTTATTTTCAAATTACTTTTGGAATTTTACCTAAAAATATACCCATCTTCTTTCAATTCATAGCTCGAATTAGCTACACTTTACTGCCAAAGTTATATTAAGAAGTATCAGTGTTGAAAAGCAAAGATAACGCGAGTTAGCGGTCTTTATAATTTCCACCTCAGTAGAATTCAACTTCCTCTTCTATTGTATTTAATTTAGTTTTAATTTAATTTAGTTTTAATTTCAGCGACAAACAAAACTGTCGATGTAAAATAAAGAAAAGAAAAATCAATAAAACCTTTAAACTAAAGAAATAAAAAAGCCTGTAAAAGTTACAAAAATATCTAATAACGAATCCGACTCGGTGGAGCGATTTTATTTTCCATATAATAAAACGTTATACAAACGTTTCTTATTTATTCTTAATACTCTAACGCGCTCGAAAATAAGTTGAAAAACTTCATTATTGAGTTTCGTTTGTATACGTTACGTAAAAATATAAAATAAACTGCAAATTATTTTTTAAATCTTTTCCTGTGGTCTGACTTTATGAAAAGTTTCTTGTTATTTATTTAAATAAATGTCGAGTTATACTAAGATGCGGGTTATCAATGTGAAAATTAAGGTACGCTTCATACTTTCATAGAAAATGAATAACTTATCCATTAAATGCTGTTGTATAATAATGAAATTTTTCATTTTGTGGCATGTTTATTGCTTATCATCAGGTAAATCTACTAATACAATTAAAATTTATTTAATGTATGACGAAATATAAATGCCATTTGCATGAGAGATAAGAAACTTGTTAAATTTGGTTTAAATATGATTTATTGTTGATATTTTTGATGAACTAAGAAAAACAGAAATTAACAAATTGTTGTCCACATAAGTGCTAACATTTTTTACGTGCAAGCTCCTAATTGTTCAAACAAACTAATACAATGAAATGTTATTAAAATGTCTGCTGAAGCTTCTAAAAAATACTGGCTCTTAGCAATTAATTCCAACTTTTGTGCTTTCCTTTTTGATGTAAACGAAGTTTGTATTCTTGGAAAGAAAAAACATAGTTTAAATTAAAGACTTCATTTTTTCACCAATCTTATAGAAGTTTGGTGAATAATACCCGTAGAAAACTTGGTAGCTTATAAGTGGCCTAATAATTTGAAAACAAAGGTTAGATTTTGGCAATGAGGTTTATTAATAAGTGGTATTTTTAGATATACCTACATACATATAAGGCATTAGAGGCAACAAATAATTAAGATTTTATTAAACGTTGCCTAAAACTGTCTTAAAGAAAAGAAACTAGGAATATTTTTAAGATTGTACATAAGTAAAAGGCAGTGTACAAGTATTTGCGTATTTACGCAAACAAAAGGCCTAAAAGATGCATACAATTATTGTCCATAGAAACTATGATCTAAAGGCTTAGAACTGTGTTTATGTTGTTAAGTATTTAGATTTTTGATATTAAATGCATCGTGCATTATTTAATCAACATTTTAATATTTTAGCCCCCTTAAAAAAAACGCTGCGTACGCCCTTGCTTCTTTCATATACACTTCTATTTATATATATATTTATTTTTCATTGGTTGATCTAATTTAACTCCATATATACACTAAATTCTTTTATATAACTTGGTATAATTGTAGTCCAGCATTGAGATAGCACACATTTCCAGAAAAACTATTTGAGAATTGTAAAGCAATGTAGAAACAATAACAGATTGTTAGAATAATTATCCGATATTTCATAGGTTAGGTAATTAATTCACCATTTTGCTGAATTATTGTCCACCTAGTCCAACATTTTCCAGATTGTTATAATAATTATCCGATATTTCATAGGTTAGGTAATTAATTCACCATTTTGCTGAGTTATTGTCCACCTAGTCCAACATTTCCTAGTTTTTAGGCACAACGTGGCGTTGCTGATCGAAAATAGAAAATTATAAGAGAGGTAATTGTCTATCCCTGAGTGTATGGCATAAACAAACAGTTGCTTAAGTACACAAACATACTTCTAATTAATTACATAATAAACGCCCTGGGTGCTGACGTCATTTAGCATATGTTAGAACACGGGGTCGTCTGCTCGCCTAAGGTCAGCCAATGAACTTGGATGTGGGGGGCGACAGCCATAAGAGTTGTTTATCAAAAAACTGTTGAACCTACCGTGTGTGTGTGTGTGTGTGTGTGTGTGTGTGATGGCGAAGATTCGAGTTGTATGCCATGTACATATCTGCAATGCAAATGGTGTTATTGCGCAGCTTCTTCTTTTCGAAGATACAAAAACATTATGCAAACATTCTTGTTACTTTTCATTTTCATCGTCTTCTTCTAACTGCGCCAAATTTTTCTGGAAATTCTGGGTATTCGTATCAGCAGCCAGTTCATGGTCAATAGGGGAGTGCAAAATGCGCATATTTTGCGGAGTTTTCAATTTCATTTCTTGCCGACACCACCTTTTGTTGCCATACGTCGTCAGTCTGACACACAAACCTCGAGTGGCTGGCTGCAAAGGCGACTGCGAGTGCGAATGCGATTGTTGCATGTAAACATGCGCCGCCAAGCGTGCCAACCACAGTCTCGTACGTCAGCAAATTGTTGGCGACGTCTTTGTCGCCGCTTGTTTGGCCCATTATCATGCAAAAGTCAAAATGTGATGCAAATTTGCCAACAAGTTTCGCCCCAAAGGGGACTCTCGTACTAGTTGATGTGGGCGCCTAAATGCATTGAACTTTGTTGCGGCTGCTACTGCCTGCTGCTGCTGCTACTGCTGCTGCTGGTGTGATGTGTGCATTGACAACGTGGCGTATGAGTAACGCTCATTAACATTTACACGTGACTGCTGCCCAAGATAGGCATTTCAATCCACTTCCATCCCATTACCATACTCGCACAATAGCTAACATCAAATTGGTGTTTGCCATGCGCATTAATTTAAACGCGCCGCCCCCAGAATCCCCCTCGTCGAATGCAATGTTCTCAGCTCTATGATGTTGTTATTGCTGCTGTTGTTGTTGTGTTTCCATTCTAGCGCCCACACTTTTGATTGAATGGCGTGCTACAAAACAATACAAACAATACTCATAGACAGCACGCGTCGCTCGTCGGTTGAAAAGCAGACAATAGAAAGTGATGGGAATTGCCGATATCCGCAGATACATACGAGTACAATATGCAAAAAGGGCATAGGTTAGCTTGGGATAGGTTAGGATTAGTTAGGATAGGTTGGAGAAACAGTTTCCCACTAAAGCACACAATAATTTATTTGCATACATTATAAACTTTTCAACTTTTCCAAGAAACCATAAAATACAACCAAATTACAATTACATCCAAAAGCTAAAAGCTTCTCCAAAAGCCGGGGGGAAATTTTGTTTGCCACTCACCTATGACCGCAATAAAGTCCCCTTTTGGGAAAACCAACCAGAAGAGTCAGTTCATCAAAAAAAGCACAAAAAAGTAGTCAACGAAGAGAAGGAGATAATATTTTTGACTGATTTTTTCCCTACCCATTTGTGAGTTGATACATTTTGTAGAACAGTTCTTCACCTCCCTTTAGGAACTGGTAGTAATTATCTTAAAGCAACTGTTTCTTACATTTAAATCAATAATATCAATCAATCGACATGTTTCCATCTAGTAGATCTTTCTCTGGGCCATACAATAGACTGTCCCCAGCTGGGCTATGACAGACGATCCAATTCTATCTAGCTAGAAAATCCATTGTCCGTATACGTATAGTACGAGTATATTTGTAAATCTCTTGTGTAATTATCTTTAATTAAAACTTCTGAATCATTCCATTCTTCAACATTTCAAAATAGACTCAAATGGAAATCAAACCAATTTCTTTGAATACATTAATGGCGTTTATATTCGTTTTATACTTTATGGTTGCTTTCCAAAAGCGAAAAAGACTTTTATATTCATTCATTTCTTCTGTAAATATTGGCGCCCAAGGTAGGGCCACACCCTACTGCGCCCTTGAAACCGTCTGTTTGTTGTCAGAACTGCACCCTCGATGTTAAATTTTGCAGAGCGCAAAAATAACCTTCGGATCACCACCTTAAAATGTTTAATATGCATTAACAATGGCACTGACTAAATTTATCATAAGTACCGATTATAAAAGAATTGTTAGATTTAAAAAAATATTTAACAACAACCGACGGCAACACTTAAAAGCTTGGCTTCAGACTGCTTTTAAAAGAACATTTGTTTTTTCATAAGATATAGTTGTCTCAGTTTAAATGAACAATATAAAATGTTATAATATAGGCATTTGCATTTCACGACCTCCTCAATTATTTTAGATTAGCTAATGAACAAGTTTTAGTTCTGATATAAAACAACATAAATCAGGGGGCATATAATTAGAAGTAGTGGCATCTTCTGGCTTATAAATAAAAATTGAAATTGTTGATTTGGTAGGCACGTTTATCGAAGATATATTAGCCAATTAATGATGAACAATTAATTGCCGTATAATTAGCACCTACATTCTGAGTACATTCCCCCTTTCCACCTAACTCTTAATTAATTATTAGCTGATAACACATCAGCAGCAACAACAACAACAACCGCAGCACAACATCATACGATTTCGCGCCCTCCTTTTTCGCGCTCTCAATCTCTCCT